GGATCTGAAAATGACCTGAAGCAACCATGTTTAGGGTCAGGGGAATTTGGAGTTGGTGAAGGTCAATGATGATGAGCAAGTGGGACCTATTGCAGGTCAGGAAATGGACAGCAGCTCTAGGTCAGCTGGTGACTGTGGAGCATAACGCAAAACCCAAATCTACAGATTAAAACTGTAGAGATAACCACAAAGTGGCAGGCACAGTGGGAAAATAGAATAGACAGTGAAGACAAGTACTTGTTATATGCATCTTTACATTTTATCTTTTTATTGTGATAGTTTATTAAGAAACTGTAGTCAAGGCCAATTAATATAAAAAGTCAAATTTACCACATATATAAATTTGGTATCTTATAAGGCTTATTATTCACAAATAAACATTACGTCATCCTTTTATTGCAATGCACACGTTGGAGATCCTAACGTGTTGCTTTTCTAGTTCAATACCAACCTCGAATTATAATTTGAATGGGACAGCAATAGTTCCCTTACCCAATAAAGTTGCTGAATCTGTTGCTGCAGGGCTTCCTCCTTCAGCTGCTCCACAAGGTCAATTTGCTCCAACAGATAAACCTCCCTACTCCGCAAGCACTCCAAGTGACGGCTGATGCAGCTGTGGATTTGAAATTTTACCTATAAAAGACCAAGCAACAAAACAATGTCATTCCTCATTCAGGAAATGAGATGCAGCAGTTTCTACAAAAGAAATCTACAAGCTGCAGCATTAAAAAAAAATCATGTTACTTAAAAATGTGGCACCCATTACTTACAGGCTCAAACTAAACATACCTCCTTACTGTTTGCTTTAATCTCCTGTTCGGCCTTTATGATACTGCTAACGGCCATCTCCAGATCTCGCTTGGCCTGCAAACAATTACTGAACAAATCCTTGGATTGGAAGCTGGCATTTTCCCCACCCTGGTTGCGTGTTGGATTCATCTTGGTCTCTGCTGAAAGAAGAAGTAGTCATTAAGATAAACTTGACCACGGACATGAGCATGCAAGATCAGCAGACTGGTGACATCCTCAGCACCCATTATGTGCTACTAATCTAAAAGCAGTTCAATGTGAAAAACACTAAATATGTACTTCAAGTTTTGGCTGCTTAAGTTCACTTAGGAACCTGATGTCTACTTCCATCCAAAACATACCAGTTCATGTTCAGATCCTAAAGATATTTGTACAATTCCACTGTGTATTAAGGATATTTTATTTTAAAATTAGAACAAAGCTTCTCTGGTATTTCTCATGTGAAGTCTGATTTTACACTCTTACCAAGGAAGGGATACCAAAACCTCCCATCTAAAAAAAGAAACAAAAATCGGGTAGTATGGTTAAAACTTTCCTCTGAAACTTTAATACAGTACAGCCATCCCAGGAAGGTAACCTCTCTATTTTAGTTGGTGACAAAACCTTTTTTTTCAGGAAAATTCTCAAGTGGATCTGAAATATATGTCAAGTTAGTTTCATATTGTACAGTTTCTCTTTCTCAACAGACTTGAGTTTCTCCAACACTTCCTAAATTGGCAGAATTTTGCTTGCTATAATTTTGTCTACTATCCAACTAACAGATCAGCTTACAGAAAGGAAGATGGTTGTCCTCACTTGATTTGGTTCATGCCCTCAAATGTTTTCCCATCCATTTCCCCTTTTGCTTCCAACTTGCAGACTTCTTGCAACCTCAGCTACAATTTCCTCAAATTTATGAAATTACAATCTAGTTAACTGACTGTAATGAAAGAGAAATATGAATGGGATGCAAAGGGAGATTGGTACAAGGGATTATTGATGCACACAAATCTCTCATGGCACTATTCAGAGTTAGGCTGAGAATACACCACTTTATAACAATAGGGTAATTATCAACAGAAGATTGCTGAAAGTGCAACACTTCCAAGAAGTGTGCACTGTATTCAGGAAATGAACAACATTCAAAAAAGCTTTAAATGAGCCCATGTGAAACAGCTTCAATATAATGAGGAGCAAAATTATTTGGCGACACAAAGAATAAGCAGTTTGATACTTTTAAATGCAAATGAGAAGATGCCTAGGAATCCTTAAAAGTAAGTACTGCAGTTGAAACATGCCATTTTAGCTGATTTAAAGAATATATTCAACCATTTCCTGTTTTAAATAATCAGGCCACAGTCTCTCTCATTAAGAATGAGGTTAAAATTAAAACATGGCAGTGCAGAACTACTGTGACAGCATTTAAACCCACAGAATATATTCAAGCACTTCCTTGTTTTGCAAGTTTGATACAAACTGGCAGTTGACTTACTTGAAGTAGTCTTTTTCTAAGAATGATGTTTAAACCAAACATGCAAATTTGACATTATAATCTGGTTTCCTCAATAGCAGAGATACTTTCTGAAAAGTGTCAATAGATTAGCTAAGTTCAAAAACTAAAGTTGTTAAGGATTAGAGGATTTGAGAGGAACTACAAACTCTTCAGTGGACAAGTTGACATAAATTCTATTTTAAAACTCGAGAATCTCAGCACAAATCAAAATCTGGAATATTAAGGTCACTCCTCGACTTGGTGGGGGGCGTGGGTGTGAAGAAGTGGCAAAACAACATATTCACTTAAACAGACCAAGTCATGCAGCATGGAAACAGACCCTTCGGCCCACCTCGACCAGATTTCCTAAAATGAACTAGTCTTATTTGCCTGTACTTGGCCCATATCCTTCTAAACCTTTCAGACCCATTTCCTTGTCCAAATCCCATTTGAATAATGTAGTTGTATCCGCCTCTACCGCTTCCTCTGGCAGTTCGTTCCATATTCTCACCACTGCACTGTGTGTGAAAAAGTTGCCCCTTAGGTCCCTTTTAAATCTCCCCCTCCCCCCCATTTTAAACCTATGTCCCCTAGTTTTGGACTCCCCTACCCTGGGAAAAAGGCTAGTTATTCACCTTGTCTATGCCCCCTATAATTCCATAAACTTCTATAAGTTCACCTCTCAGCCTCCTATGCTCCAGGGGGAGAAGTCCCAGATTATCTAGCCTCTCCTTATAACTTAAACCTTCCAATCTGAGTGACATCGTTGTAGATATTTTATTTTTCTAAACACCTTTTCCATGTTAACAACATCCTTCTTATAGCAGGGTGATCAGATCTGTACAAAGTACTCCAAATATGGCCCTATCAATGTCTTGTACAGCTGAAGCATGACATTCCAACTCCTGTATTCAGAATTTTAACCAATGAAGGCAAGCGTGCCAAACACCGTCCTCACCACACTGTCTACCTGTGACACCATTTTCAAGGAACTAGACACCTGCACCTTAAGTCTGTCTGTTCTATGACACTCCCCAGGGCCATACCATCAAACTGTGTATGTCCTACCCTGGTCTGTCTTACCAAAATGCAATATACTGCATTTATCTGCATTAAATTCCATCTGCCATTCCTTGATCAACTGAGGCAGTGGGCCAAGATCCTATTGTACTTAACCTTCTTCACTGACCACTACACCAATGATTCTGGTGTCATCTATAAACTTTCAAACTATGCCTCCTATATTCTCATCCAAATCATTTTTATAAATAACGACCCTTCATCTCTTGATGAGTTTATGTTAGGCCTGTACACCACCATTTGGAATGTTAACAGAACATACTCATTGTTGACAAACTGCAAAGCCCTCTTCTGCAGAACACAGTTCTTACAAAACAATTTCAAGGGGTTTAGCCATGGCTGTGCAAAATGGATTGCCTAGCACGAACAGCACTTTTCATCTTTTTCTTGGCCTGTAGTATGCAGGGTCTGATCGATCTCACATCCCTTATTGACCTCTTGGCACACTCACTGCCATCCACACCGTCCCAGAGATCCACTTGACGAAGAGCTTCAAAATTCTGTTCAATTTAAACGTGAATTGCTCCTATAAAGAGCCAGAAACCTGTATTCTTCCATACGTCAGATCAGGTTAACAGCTGTCATAGTCAGCAGCAGATTGTCACCCACGGTGCAACATTACTTCGTTTTGATGGGTTGTATCTTGTTTTCACTATGCTCCCTCGGCTCCAAATTTCCCTTCCACCCTCTGAAAAGCTCGCTATTGATAACATGGGAATCTAGAACTATTGCCTGTCTGTCGGGAGTGTAAAAATGCAGTTATCAAAACAAAACGCTGGGCGGTACAGCCTTCAGGGAATTATCATAACTGCAGTCGCTCTGGCTCATCTAATTCAACTCAGCCTGCATCAGCTACAAAATTTAAGATTAAAACAATCCCAAATAATCATCAAGCAACAGTCAATATTAACAAAGCCGCATGCAGGTTGTGTCCACATTAGAACTAAGAGTTAGATGCATGAACTCCCACATTCTGCACTCAATCTGCCTTGCAAACGCATAAAATGAAGCAAAATACAAAGTTTTAACAAGACCGAATGAGAAACAGTGGAAAAAACAACCAAGGTTAGGGTGAATGCACCCTCCACAGGGCCTCCTTACTCTGCCCTTTGCAGCAAAGGCCTCTGGGCCTGTGCTATCCGCTCGCCAGTATCTCCTCAATCCCAGGTCAACGGCCCTCCACTTACACAAACAAGTATTCATCACATACACTACACGAATTCATACTGCTCATTGTACCTGCGAGGCGGATGCCGATGAGGCACTGTTAAAGCTGTTCGTGGAGTGATCACAGCTTCCACCGCCGTCCACCCGCCAAAATGGGACTGCCGCAGATACGGCTCCCCAGCAGTTTATATACACCCTGCCACGTCACGGCTCTGACCCTGCGTGCTGCGTCAACCACGCGGCACAGCTGCCTTCACGTCAACAGTCCGCCACTAACTGCTCAGCGTGCTGCACGTACACCTGGGGCTCCACAAAGGGGGGAGCGCAACAGACCATTGCTGCAGCAGTACCCAGATAGGGGCTCTGCCAGGGTAATTATGATCAACATACATTGCTGCAATATAGGGGGCGGGTTGACGAAAGGTTGGAACATTTGCACTCACGGAAGAGTGCAATCTTCACGACAAATATTTCAGATTTTTTTTGCAAAGACGAGCTGGAGAGAGTCAAAATTACATAGTTGGTTTTAAAATAATTATAAAATGTCAATGAGCTATCAACACAAAGAAAACAATTCAAAGCATGAGACCGCTCACCAGGTTTGGAACGGGTCCGACTAAAAATAGCAACTTATGATGTGTCAAATTGTTCCTCACATGGCATTACAAAGTTATAAAATGACTTCATATTTTGTGTTAGTCCTGCAGACATAATCGAAGGAAAGCATATTAATATTTTCGAATTACTGGGGTCACATTTCATTGCACATTCACAACACAGACTGGATCAAACTCAAACATTTTGATGCAAAAATCATGCAAAACAACAGAGACAGGTTTTTGGAGGAGTACTCATGGTTGCCAGTACTGTATACCAAAAATTAAAACCTTCTAAATCCCGTTCTCCTGCCACACCGTCAACACCAAGCCAAAGCCCTTTTAGCCAAACAGGGAATGAACAGAACGATCATATAATTACTAGTGGCTAATAAGAATTTCAGAAAGTGATGCCAGCCTCATGATCTTTGGCTGTCAATCTAGGTCGAAGGTGACGTCTATTTTAAATAAAGACAATCCACTCAGTTTCTGATGATCTCGTGTAAATGCCCCAAGGACAAAAGTTAAGGACCGCCAAGGTGATCTTTTAACTCTGTACAGATTGAAACTATTCTGCAATGCAGCTCCCAACTGTAGCATATGAAGATTCTTGGCTATCTTGTTTCATGACTGGTCAGTTCAGTCATGTGTTTTTTCCTTTGAGCATGCTGGCAAAGCAGAGAGAAATGACTGCAATCTTGATGGCATTAATTATGAGGTAAATCTATTTCTATGAATTGGTGCATTAGTAAGCAGGAGGCTAAAATTAACGTAATCAGAAAAAGACAAAACTTACTTTGGCAGAAGAAAATCTAACAAGTGGAAGTAAAATTCATAATTTTTAAAGGATTGGTTAAGAGCATAAATTGAAAGGGTTGGAGGAAAGGGCAGGGAGATTGAAAGTTATTGAACAGCTCCTCCTTCCGAAATATTTACCTCAAATCAATAACAGTTGCTATTTGCATGCAATGCAAAAATTGGCTGAATTTCCTTACTCGTAACATTGACAATAATCGAAAATTACTTCACAGCAGGGCTTTAGTATGGCCTGACATTGTGAATGGTACTATACAAATACAGTTCCTCTTTTGTGCCTCCTGAGAGGAAAATAACTCAAAAATCTGAAATCTTAAAACATCCCAAGCTGCTTCACAGGAACATAATAACTAAAAGTGATGTTAGGATATATTAGATCTGTGGACAGACAGTAAGATGTGGGTTTACATAGCATCTTGGGGAGGAAAGAGAGAGGTAGAATTATAGAATCCCTATGGTGAAGAGAGAGGCCACTCAGCCCATCAAGTCTGCACCAGCCCTTCAAAGAATATCCCACCCAGACCCACTCCCCGATCTCATCCCTGTAACCCCGTATGGGGTTTTTACCATAGTTAACCCCCCCTAACCTGCATACCACTGGACACTGAGCAATTTTTAGCATGGTCAATCCACTTAACCTGCACATTTTTGAAGTGTGGGAGGAAAACGGAGCACCTGGAGGAAATCCACGCAGACACAGGGAGAACATGCAAACCGCACAGACAGTCGTCCAAGGCTGGAATCGAACCTGGATCCCTTGCCCTTGACGCAGCTGTGCTTAACCAGTGTCACCATGCTGCACTAAATAAATAAACCTTAGGCAGGGAGAATATATGCTATCATTTCAGAGTTAAGGCCTTGGCAGCTGAGGCCAAGGCTGCCAATAGTGATAGATTAAAATTGGAGATAACAGGATGCCAAGTGCCGACATTGATAAAACCCAAGGCTGTCTTTGCACAAATGTCCTTGTGGTCCAAAAAATTCCTAAAGTCGTTCAAAAGCCCAAACTTTCCCTTTTTTGTCAAGTATAAACTAGACTTAGAGGGAGAGATCTCTGAAATCTGACCTGTTTGCTATCAAACACCCATAACATTGCAATGCAATGCATACAGTGGATCTACAGCCCCGCTTTGATATCACCAGGGGTTTTGTTATATCTTCCATTTAGCACTAACAACTCCATTGTTGATCACATCTTTCAGAAAATGTGAAGAAGAGCACTGCTAGCTCTGGCTGGAACATATTCTGAGAGATGTCATCACATGACCCCCCCACCCCCTGCCAAACCCCCACCACCGCCACTCAGACTCTTGCCACTGGCCACCCGACATGCTGCCAACCATTGTGGAGTTCCAGTTTCCCATATCCTTTCAACATGTCCCAGTTTTGACTTTTTAAAACCTCGTCTTTAAAAGAACAAAGCGTAGGGGATGGTGAAGCAGCTAGTTAGCCCTACAAAAAACAATTATCCTACATTCCTAAAAGTATTTGAAAAATGTGCACCTCTAACTTAGTCCTTTATGCCATTTTTTGCGCTTTGGAACTTCTGATTACAGTTGCCTTTTGAGCAACTATTTGGAAAGCAATTGCAAGTAACGTTATACCTAAACCAAGGCAAAATCCCATTCGCTCATCATCTGCAATACACTGGCTCCAATCCATGTTGGCGCTGTGTGGTGGTTTTCCTCATACCAAATTATAAAGCAACTGTGGAAGTACGGACCTTCCTCTGACATCACAACTGGGAGATATTAAGCTAAGGTTAGCACTCCCAATCATGTCTTCTTGTAAGGAAATCATTCAAATGAAAATCAAATCACACTACATCAAACATTAAGATTCCTGTTATTTCAGTCTTATAACTTCTGGATTGGTTGAAACTCATTCAGGCAAGGCAGCTCAGTCTCTCTTTCTCGATCATTATCACTCTTTTTAAGTGTGTGCCTCTCTAAGGCAAGAACCTTGCATACACCTGCAATAATTATATCAGATATTTACAGCATAGAAACAGGAATAAAGGTCCAGTGGCATAGTAATAATTTCTCTACCTCTGGGCTAGCGGTTAGGTTTCAAGTACCACCTCAGGATAGTCAAACAGGTTGATTGATCTTTCTCTTAGAGACAGGCCATTTGCCCCAACCCAAGTTTATGGTCTATATGAGGCACCTCCTACTCACATTACCAGAATATCCTTCTGTTGTTTTCTCCCTCAGGTCCTTAACTGGCTTCCCCTTAAATATTTTTATGCTATTCCCTTCAGCCACTCCAAGTAGTAGCATCGTCCACAATAAAGGGTTTCTAACTGGGTTTATTGGTAAATACCTCATATTTATTATCAATCCTATCAACTACGTTCATAACTTTAAAGATGTCTATTAAATTACACCTCTGCCTTTTCTAGGAGGAAAAAAAGCACCACTTCTTCAGTTTTTCATAACTTAGTCTAACAACTTTTGTTATATCTTAGAATAGGCAATTCTGTATAGCGTCCAACCTTACTTTTTAAGGAGAAACACCCTTCCCAAACATTTAACCTGTGAACCTTAAACTATAACTTTGTTGTTAAATATTTATCGTATGGATCAAGATATTTATCATCAGTCCTGACCCTTCACCTTTATTTCTCAATTAAAATCACTAACATAACATTAATTCAGTAAATATCACGAGGTACGCAGCACTTTAGACCGAGCCTACCAAGACTAAAGGTTCCTTTCAAAAAGCTAACCTCAGCAAACTGCTTGTATTTTGGCCTCACGCCATCAATCTCAATTAGGTTAAAAGTTAATCTTCTAGAAAACAAGCCTGGTTGCTAATAATTTTTAAGCTTTGCAAAGATATGCAACAACACAAATGATCATTTTCAAAGTTTACTCGAAAAAAGACACGGAAAATCATATGATCTCATGTCAACAGCAAATTGTAGAACATACTCCTGGTAATTCAAAGTTTGTATTCACTTAGAATATCCAATAATTTTCATTTCACAATATAAATAACTTTGGTAAAAAATTGTATTCATCAGGTAATTAAATAAACGTTGAATTGAGACTGGATGAATTGACATACCAAGAATATTAATTGAATGAGAAAAGCACATGTAGTACCAAAGAGTTAAATGGCATTGAGCCTCTGCTGAAGCAACACCAAACTTGCCACAAGATTTTGAATTGTAGTAAAGGTAAGTTGGTGAAAACTCAATGTTTCCGCAGACTACACATCTTGCTGTACAATGTTACATATTTTCCTTAAACAGAAATTGAATGTAATTAACCCAGGTGAGCTGACTATTTAATTCACTTTTGTCAAAGAGATTAAGCAGCAAGGAAATACTTAACATCAGGACATTAGGTCCACCACCAAGTTCCACACAAAGCCATTTAAACTGGCACTGACCCAAGATTTGGTCTGCATTCAAACTTGGTGTTCGAGGAAATGGGAGGTCACATTTCAGCCAAGTTAAACCTTCACAAGCCAGAACAGAGCTACACATGAAATAACGTGAACTTTCTCGAACCGCATAGTTCAGCAAATATCAATGGTCCCAGATCCTACTTTGTCCAAGCATCAACAGCATAGAGGAAACATAACCACTCTCTCGCTCCTCCTTACACTTAAGTGAGCTTCATAAGGCCAGATGTACAACAAACAAAAAAAAACTAGGTTTTTGAGAAAACAAGGTGTAGAGCTGGATGAACACAGCAGGCCAAGCAGCATCAGAGGAGCAGGAAGGCTGACGTTTCGGGCCTAGATGCTTCATTCTACTGAGGCCAGTGAAATAAAGAACCTCAACAA